GTGTGTGTGTATAATTGATCCAAGTTGTACGGTGCCATAACACGTAGCACAGTCCAGATCCAGATCCATGTATTCATCATATTCTCATCAAAGCCTAACAGTGAACTGTGCACAAAGAAGTAACAGAGTAATGCATCTATTTACAGTCTTGCATTTATAGCTTTGGTACTTAGAATAAGTATTATATATCTTCTCCTTAGAGTTTACATCACAGTTTTAGAACTTAATATTAGTTATATTTAAACAATATGAACCATACTTAGATATTTTTGGTGATATTACTTGAAACAAAATTTACCTACTTCCATCTTCTTTCAAATGGAATCTGTCTAGCAGAATGTCTGGGCATTGCAGAGTGAGTTATGTACAAATTGTTACCACATCTGACTAAATCAGAATTTTTCCAGCAATCAAAACTAAATGAAGATATTATATTAATAGAGGCTGATATCACAGCAACTGTCATTCATAACACCCAATGTCATTTCAGATGCATAAAACAGTCACATTTTTTCTCACTGATTACTTTATGAGCACATTGTGTTTAAAATATAGTCAAAATTTGAACACTTCCCACCAACTTTTACCTCCACCTACTGACTCAAGTCACAATCTCTCCTAAATTATTCCAGGAGAATTATGTCCACATGCTCTCTTGCTTTTTAACTCTTAAGCCACTATAGTCTGTTCTTCACACCTAAGTCAAAGCCATTTCTGGCCCACACCCTTCAAGGACTGCCCATTTCATTAGAGTAGAACTCAAATCCCATATAATGATGCCCAAGGGCCTTCATGGACTGGTGCCTTGTTATCATGTAGACCCCACCTCCTACTACCACAACCCCCACCCTCACAACAGCCACAGTGGCATCCCCAGAGTTCCTCAAACACACCAGCACCCTCCCACAGTGGGGCCTTTCACTTTGCTGTTCCCTGCACTTCAACAGTTCTTTGTTCCCTCACCTCCAACAGGTCTATGATCAGATGCCATCTTCTCAACCAATCCTTCTCAGGTCATCCTTACTGCACCCTATGCTCCCTTCTCAGTCTGTATATTTCCCCATTATACTTATCACCATGTGAGATATTCTTGCTTAAATTAAGCATTTATTGTCTGCCTCCCTGCAACTAGTAAACCAAAACCAAACTCACTGCCGTTGAGTCACATCTGACTCATAGTGACTGCCCCTGAGGTTTCCAAGGTGGTATCACTACAAAAGTAGATCACCCAATCTTCCTTCCAAGGAGGGGCTGGTGGGTTTGAACCACCAGCCTTCTGGTTAGCAGTCCCTGTAACTAGAGTGAGCAGGACATGCATCTGTTTTGCTCACACTTATATTCCAAGAAGTCTTGAATAGTACAGCCACACAGCCAGCCTTGAACAGCCAGTCACACAATATGTATTTGTGGAATGAGTAAAACAACCTAATTTGAATCCACAACAAAATCCATGCAAGTAATATATCATATTTAATTGTTTTTTCAATCATCAATTCTCTTCTAAGACTCGTTTATCCAATAAAGAATTTCACAGCTACAAAAAAAAGCTGTCCAAATTATAAATTTGGGCAAAAAACTTACAACTTCATCATAAAATGAAACTAGTTATTGTAAGCACCATAATACTCAAACACCACACTGATGGAACTAATCCAAATTAACATTTACAGGTTAGAAGTACTTGTGAGAAAGAATCTCTTGCTACCCTTATTATTATGCATTACTATGTACTTATTATTATACATTGTTGTTGTTGTTGTTGTTGTTGTTATGTGCCGTCGAGTTGGACCCGACTCATAGAGACCCCTCCTTGGATTTCCGAGGCAGTATCACTATGGAAGTAGATTGCCCTATCTTCCTTCCGAGGAGTGGCTGGTGGGTTTGAACCGCCAGCCTTCTGGTTAGCAGTCAAGTGCCTTAGGCACTACATTACCAGAGTATATCTATATATATATAATAATAATAATAATGTTCCATTTAAGGGAGGAATTCTTTCTAAGCATTTTCTCTATTTCATTTGTATCTTAAACTTGACAAAGTAAGTTAAGACCACCCAGGACTTCCCTAAAAGTTTTTCAAAGTTTCTTCTGCTTTGGTCATATTCTGTGTGATCATAATTTTCACCACATGGGTCTGTGGGTCCAGCCTTTTTGTTCATGCCACAGTTTCTTTCAAATGCACATTTTTTCTTTCTTCTTGCAGTTACACACAAATGCCATAATTTTCATATACATCCGTGAAATACCTAACACACAACTGACTTCCATGGAGGTTAACATCACCCATGTGGCTAAACCAGGGCCCATACCCCATGCAGACTACTGTTTCTTAATCATTTAATGTAAGGCTACTCTTACCAAGTATCCTCTCCCCTCCATACCACTTGGCAGGTATATGATCTTAGAACAACTTTGGCTACAAGTGAGCTTATAAATTGAATACTCATCAGGGATTGATCAGGAATTTTCTAGACTCCATAAATGTCTGTTACAGCATTGTTTCAATCTTTTTTTCTCCATCTAGTAATTGCTTTATCCTAATGATACGTCCTAGTATATTGCCTAGCATAAAATCTTCAGGGTGATATGTAATAATGACCTTTATTCCCAGAGCTTTCTCTCCCTCCCCCTCTCTTGAACTACCTCACTACTCCTCCCATGCCCCTCCCCTCTCTCTCTCAAAGTCTAGTCACAATTAGTTTCTGTTAAACACAACAGAGTTTTCAGTCAAGGCAAAGATGTCTTGCAGCATTTATATTAATACATGCTATATCAAAATTTAGGAGCTCTGGTGGCGTGGTGCCTAAGGCATTTACTGCGAACCAGAAGGTTGATGGTTCAAATTCACCAACCACTCCACAGAAGAAAGACTGGGCAATCTACATCTGTAAAGATTCACCACCTCGGAAACCCAAAGGGGGTTGCTATGAGTTGGAATCGACTCGATGGCAGTGAGTTTGGTTTGTTTTATATCAAAATTAATTTTATGACATTAGAAATGAGTTCACTGGAAAGGGACTATAAAGCTGGTACAATTGCAACCAATTCTACCTTGAAATCACCAATGAAATGTGAAGCTCAACTAAATTTGATAGTTTCTATGAAAGTCAAATAGAAAGTGTTTTATTTCAAGTTTTGAGTTTGTTGGTTTAATGTGAATAGTATTTGTACACTTCAAAATTTAAGGAAAATTTATACCCATCTAGTTGTTATATGAAACCATGTCAAAAAAGAAACCATGTTTTCAATAAAATTACAAAACATTCCTGCATCACAAGGTTGTGAACAGAAAAACAAGCATCTGGAGTCAATAAAATACAGAAATGTATCAGCTCTTCTGATTTGTACCAGTTTACCTGAAAGCAAAACTTCCACTTGACAGGATTCTAGACACCAGTCTGAAAATTGCATGTCACATCTTGATCAACCCTTCTTTAATCATATTCTTTGATTTCTCTGCCCAGGTATATATATTATTTCTTATTTATTTATGTTGAGATCCTAGCTAGGCATCACTGTGATCTCTGTATTTTCCACTTTCTTCTTTGGTAAAATTGTTCATTGATATAAAAAATACCAGCATACTTTAATCTAAAACCACATTACACATACAAGTAATTTGATGGTAGTTTTTCTATTATAAAACAACAAACAGAATTCCAGAATTTATAAGCATCTTGCATGATAAGTCTGCTATTTAAAATATTTACTCAAAGTATGGAAAACCAGTGATCAACATTTTTGGATGTACTCTACATAACACATGTAGTCTAATATCGCAGAAAGTACTGGCCATCCAGAGTCCTACACAGAAATCCTTATAGGCAGGCAGGCAACACATGATGTATCCATCCACACCTTATTCTTTGTGCGTTAAAAATGGGCAGGTCTTCTTCCAAAGTCAGAGAATCTGAAGGTTCATAGAAAGGAAAATTTTTCTGTTTTTTTGTAGGGTGTTCCCATTGGACCTCTTTGTTTTCTAAATCAAAGTTCTCTGGAATGTCTGACAGGAGTAGCATTGTTACTGTAGATGCAACTCCTTGCTTGGCCAATGGGCTTCATGTCCCTTAGGGATGGGAGAAGTGGGAAGGAGAAGAAGCATACTGCAGGGAGGAATTGGTGAGCTGCTTATTTTAGCACTGCCTTAGGGTATAGGGTATTCTGACAGGACCCAGCAACTGCTTAAAAAGTTGTGAGTAGATTTTCAGTGCCCCTGTTACCTCTCTGACACAGGACATTCATTCAACATATAGTGTAAGCCCACATTTTTCTACTATATGCTGAATTCTGTCAAAGCCAGAAGTCCAAGATAGGAAGAACTGTTGCAAGCTTTGGGCATCAACAATGTCACCTCCTCTGAATTAACGTAGCAAATCAATATAACTGTAATTCAGTGCCTTTCAAATAGAACATGGATTTCATCTCCTCCTTATAGCTCTCAGGCATATAAAGACCATCACGTTTTATAACTGTAAGAGAGGATGGTTATGCTGGAACACTAGATACCACTAATACCTATTTGAAAGCTCAGAGATTCATTCTCATAAGAACTTCTAATTCCACAACCAATCAATAAATTTCCTCTTATTCTTAACAGCAGTTAAGACTTCCCACCCCTGTACAAACATTTTAAAACCTATTTATTAATGACTCATAGGGATAAGATTAACATCAATAGCTATTGTGGGCTTTGAAAGTCCTCTTTGTAAGAGAGGCTTCAGTATTCTGTCATCTAGATCAATCATCTACTTTTACCAATTCAAATCTTACCTACATCAAATGCCAGCCACAAAAAAAGCCTAAAAATGAATCACTTAAGTAAAACGCCAATGTGTTCCTAAGACTTTACCTTCCAACAATTTCCTCCATACTAAAAAACGCATTCTGAGACGAAATCAGAACACAGCCGCTCCCAAAGTCATTCTTTGGTTATACCTGACACTCTTTAGGGAACACCTGCCCTCTTTTCAAGCTACACACGCTCTCAAAAGAGCCACAGACCGCGAAGCGGAATCCGCCGAGACACAAGCACAGAGCGCCCAAGACTTACATTATTCATGTACTCGCTGAGCAGGTCCTGCAGCGCCTGCCTGACCGCGTTACACTCCGCCACTATCCTCTCCCGCCGGTCGTCGCGAGTGCAGGATGAGTCGGCCATGAGCGCAGCGCCACTGATGATACTCTCCAGCCTCTCCTCCAGGGACGGCCTGAACCTGGCCTCGCTGAACGTCATGGGGTCCAAGATTATCTTATTCTGAAAATATAAGAAGTGAAAATTAGCAGAGAATCGGTCGCTTGCTTTTTCACCCTGTTTTGTAAACCAGAATACCTGAGGCAGGCGAGAACAAAACTCTCCGTGGGGAAGAAACTGGTTAATCAGACAAATTGTAAAATGACCTTGACAAAAGTAGCAACTTTTTGTAAAGAATTTTCCCCAAATCTAATCTTCTGGAAGCAAACAGCACATCTTTGAATAACTTGTTCTTGGCAAAGGCAATCTCAACCAAAGAGTCTTCAAATGAAATTGTGATACTAAGTTGGAATTTTAAAAAATACATAGCCTTCAAGGAAAACACACTTCAATGTAGCACTTTTGAAGATTATGGAAATATTTTAGCATCCCTGAGCTAGAATATAATATGTAATCTACAAATGAAGGATGCATTAATTGTGACTGGTGTATATTACATCCTCCTCATGAGAAGTGGGCAGTCCCATGAGGTGTATTTTGAACCCTGGGTAAATAACATTCAAGGAGCATACTCAGCCCAGGTTAATTTCCCACTAGGAATTAATATCTTTAATTTTAAAGATGTGTATTTTAGGAAACAAACCATAATAAATGTCTTATGTGGTTTGGTACAATTAAATGACTGTATCCTGATAGAGGTATTAAGATGGAGAAGGGGTAAATTAAAATAATTCCCAGAGGGAAGGCATCACCATGTATTTAACTTTAGTTTTTGTCTCTAACTTTGAGGAACCTGTACACACGTGGGCAGAGATGTCCAGAGGCAGATGGAAATATATGCTCAAATTCAGGAGATGAATCAGCCTTTATAGTGATCTGAGATTGTAAGGAGTACTGTGGACAGAAGAAAGTGAATAATATCCTAATAAAGTGAATATGGCAAGAAAAGCAGACCACAGAATGCCCAATGAACACCAATTCTTAAGAGTGTACAGAAGCATGAAGATTCAAGAAAGATAGAAAACAGTCAGAGAAACAGGAACAAATTTAGAGAATGCTATTCCCAGGATGTCAAGTGAGTAGAGATTGATGAAGTATGCAATAATTAATAAAAAGAAAGTTGTCATAATAATAAAAACAGTTGTCATCTAGTCGATACTGATCCACAGTGCCCTGAAGTGTTAAAGAGCTGAATCAAATTAATTTTATAAGTTTTTCAGGCTATGACCTTTCCAAAGCAGATTGCTAGGCCTTTTTCCAAGACACCTCTGGGTGGATTTGAACCACCAAGCTTTTGGTTAATACTCAAGTACTTAACTGTTTGCACCAACCATGGACTCCATGTGATAATGAGCTGTTTGAAATAGACAGGACAGGGAGACTTGGTCCAATGGTTGGTTTCCATTTCTCCTTAAAGCAAGGAAGAACATTCTAACATTAACCAATGTGGAATGAATGACCTATTACAAGAATTGCTGCATGCATCTTCACTGGACATGTGCATTGCATATGCAAGAACAAGAAAAGAGATGATGGAGGAAATGGTCTTCTAATGTTTTGATCCTGTGGTGCAATTACTATTCCCTTACTGTTTCTTTTTAGAAACTACTCCTTAAATGATTGCTCAAAAAAAAAAAAAAAAAGATTAGAAAGCACTATTTACCATTACAGGAGCTCTGGTAGCATAGTGGCTAAAGCACTTGACTGCTAACCAGAAGGTTGGCGGTTCAAACCCACCAGCCACTCCTCAGAAGGAAGGTTGGGCAAGCCGACTCCACGACAAATACTGCCTCGGAAACCCAAGGAGGGGTCGCTATGAGTCGGGGCCGACTCAACGGCAAATAACAACAACAATTTACCATTACGGGAGCTCTGGTAGCATAGTGCCTAAGGCACTTGACTGCTAACCAGAAGGCTGGCGGTTCAAACCCACCAGCCACTCCTCAGAAGGAAGGTTGGGCAAGCCGACTCCACGGCAAATAACAACAACAATTTACCATTACTACAAATATACTAAAAAAATCAAATGAGAGTAGGTAGTTATACTATTGTCATTCATCAGCCACCTGCTCAGTTTCTACTATGTACTTTGGGCTAAAAACAGTGGGCATAGCATAACATACATACCTTCTTGAGAGTTTTCTTTCCAATAGTTTTGTTTTGTTTTTTAACTTTGGGCAATCTACTTCCACAGTGATACTGCCTTGGAAACCCAAGGAGGGGTTATGACCCAACAGCACATAACAACAACACATTGTCATTTGGGTGAAAGTTTACAGTAAAAGTAAGCTTTCTAATCAACAATTAATAAATATTTTGTTTCATGTCATTGACTGCAATCCCCTTAATATAATATCACTCATCTCACTTCCTGTGTTTCTCATTTCCATTTTTCCTTCTTTCCTAACCCTTCTTGCCTTCTGAATTGTGTTCTTGGGTGAATGCTGCCCTTTTGATCTCAAATGGTTTATTGTTCTAAAGAGTGCATACTTCCCTAGTGTTATTCTTCACCTGTCTATTATTTGTCTGAAAATTGAGCCATAAGAGTGAGTTCAATTCCAGGTCTGGAGAGTGACTAAGGGCTATACCTTCAGGGATTCCACTAGTCTCCATCTGACCAATAAACCTGGACTTTTTTTTTATGATTTTAAGTTTTCTTCCACATTTTTCTCCCACTTTATCCTGGACTTTCTAATGTGATCATTTTCAGAGCAGATGGTAGTGGTAGCTGGGCATCCTCTAGTTCTTCTGGTCTCAGGATCGAGGAGGCTGAAGTTCACATGGTCCGTTAGTCTTTCAGACTAATTTTTTTTTCATGTGTCTTTGATTTTCTTCACTCTTCTTTGCTTCAGATGGGCAGAGACCAACAGTTGCACCTTAAATGGCTGCTCACAACTTTTGAGACCATAGATGCAACTCATCAAAGTAGGATGTAGAACACTTTCTTTGAGGATTATGTTGTGCAAACTGACCCTGATGTCCCGCAACACTATGATCCTGGGCCCCCAGGCCCAGTGACTTATTTCCTCAATGTGTTTGATTATGGCTATAAAATTCTCATAACTTTGTCCACTATATACTCTACTATACTCATGGATATATTTGCAGCATATGTACATACATAGGTGGAAATATCCTCTGTCAAACCTATATATATATATATATATTCAGGGTATGGCTCTATTATCCCTCCCACACTTGTTCAGTCTGCATATCTATGTATCCACTTGTAGATAATTGTTATTGTTTTTGCAGGATTGTATATATAATAGCATTTACCCCAGTTTCTTTTAACTCTTGTACTCCTCTCACTGTCTTCCTCTGCCGTGATCATTTTTGGCTCTCCTCCCCTTTATTGTATATTGCCTTCCCATTCATCCAAGTTAATATGTTCTTATCCTGTAGTTAGTGGTTTAGCCTCCTTTTCCCTTCCACTGCTGGTTACCGTCAAGGAATATTTCTTTTTTTGTGAAAATTTTTCTTGTTCACTTTAAAATAGTAGTCTCATACAATACTGGTCCTTTTCAGAATAACTAAATTTCTCTTAGTATAATGAGATCCAGGTTCTTCTTGCAGATTTATCATCATTCCTTAACACTGTGTGGTATTCCATTGTAAGTATGTAGCAGAGTTTGTTTATCCGTTCATCTGTTGAGGGATATTTATTTTGTTCCATCTTTTTGTTATTGTGAATACTGCTGCAATGAAAATGGGTGTGCATGTATCTATTTGTTTCACAGCCCTTATTTCTGTAGGATATATACCTACTAGTGGTACTGCTGGATTATATGGTATTTCTATTTCTAACTTTTTAAAGAAGCACCACACTGTTTGTCACAGTTGTATTATTTTACAGTCCCACCAGCAGTATATCCGGGTTCCCATCTCTCCACACCCTTTCCAGCATTTGTTGTTTTCTGAAATTTGCTATCAGTGCTGGCATGAGATAGTTGTTTTGTCTGCATCTTTCTAACGATTAATGACTAATGATGGCAAGCATTTTTTCGTGTGTTTCTGGGCCACCTGAATGTCTTCTTTGGTGTCTTCTGTCTATTTTTTAATTGGATTATTTCTCTTTTTGTTACTGAGATGTCAAAAGTTTCTATAACTTTTGGATATTTTTCCCTGATCCAATACGTCTTTGACAATTTATTTTTCACAGTCTGTGGATTTTCTTTTTACAATTTTGATGAAATCTTTTCATGCACATAAGTGATTAATTTTTAGGAGGTCCTAGTCATGTAGTTTGTCTTCTGGTATTTGTGCATTTTTATGTATATTTGATAGTGCATTGATACCATGTATTAGGGCCCCTATTCACTCTTTCTTTTTTTCCTTTTGTTGTCTTTATAGTTTTAGGTTTTACACGTAGATCTTTGATCCATGTTGAGCTAATTTTTCTGTATGGTGTGAGATATAAGTCCTATTTCATTTTTCTGGAAACAGTTATCCACTTTTGCCAGCACCATTTGTTAAAGACACTATATCTTCTGCATTTAATGGATTTTGGCCCTTTGTCAACAATGTACTGTCTACAGGTGGATGAATTTACTTCTGGGTTCTCAATTCTGTTCCACTGATTTATATGCCAGGAGTTCTGGTGGCATAGTCCCTAAGGCATTTGATTGCTAACCAGAAGGCTGGCAGTTCAACCCCATCAGCCATTCCTTGGAAGGAAGGCTGGGCAATCTCCTTCCTTAGTGATACCTCCTCAGAAACCCAAGGAGGCATCACTATGAGTCGGGTTCGACTTGACAGCAGTAAGTTTGGTTTTTGGTTTTTGGTTTATATGCCATTCTACCAGTACAAGGTTGTATAATAGCTTATAAGATTAGGAGATGTGAGTCATCCTACTTTGTTCTTCTTTGGTAGTGCTCTGCTTATCCAGGGCTTCTTTTCTTTCCATGTAAAGTTAGTGATTAGTTTTCCCATATCTTTAAAGAATGATGATAGAATTTGGAACAGGATTGCATTCTATCTGTAGACAGCTTTGGGTACTATTGACATTTTCATAATGTTAAATCTTCCTATCCATGAGCATGGTATATTCTTCCATTAATGTA